CCCTAGGCAGGTTGAACTGGGTGATAAGGGAGTAAAGCCCCTCAGGCGTCATGGTTGAGGGCCCAAACTTGTCTAACGTCCGACCTCGACGGGAGGACGCCAAACTAGCCGAGGCGACTTGGCCTATGGGTTCAAACTCTTCCTCGAGCTCTACCTCGGGCTCACTAAGGCTGTCGGGGGATGCAGCTCGGTTCGTAGAACCTGCATCTGACCCCCTCGAAGAACTGTCTAAGCTGTCCGAGCTAGACATCGGGAGGAAAAGAATACCAGGAAGAAAGTACTGACTCACCTGGGAAAAGCAAACGGACTACGGAAGGTTGACGTGAGCTAAAAACTTGGACGCGAGCTCAAGAAGCAAATGTAGGAGAATGGCAATGAAAAGCGACTGGGGGTCCCTCACTATTTATACCCACAGTGACCGAAAACCGACAGCTCTGATCGAGGCAAATCCAACGGCACACGATCAAGCTGACCGCACGCCTCCTAAGACCGAGATGTGACTGGCCGCACGTCTTTTGAATCTGAAGCAGCGCCGACGCACGTCTCCCAGCATTGAAGGCAGCAGCGACGCGTTTTTTTCAAATTTGAAATAACACCCGTTGTCATGTCTCCCAGCGGCGCGCTTTTTAAGTTTTGAAATAACGCGCGCTGTCACGTCTCCCAACATTTAAAGGCGGATTGGCGCGTTTCCTGACTTTTTTGGTGCTCGAGAAACCCGGAAATCTCCTGACGAACGCACACTTCGCGACATCAGTCAACCGGTTCGAAGTACGGGTCAAATCCACCCGTCACCTCGCGAACTCCCCGCGCCAAGTTAAGCCCCTTAGCGCGAGGAGTGGGGGGCAATTGATGAAGGAAGATTTGGCCCGACCTCTTAACCACCCAACACGTGGAAACAACCAAGGGTGCCTGGCAGAAGCAGCAGCTCGGCACGGCAGTACGCTCAAGGCGCAAGCTTCGAGAGGAGGAACCAGCGGTCCGAGCTCCCCAAAAGAAACCCGAACTCTCCCTTTGACCCCGAGCCTTACGAGGAGCGCAAAGGGCAACAACCCGAACTGGCCCACCCCAGGGCAGTTCGGGCCACACCTCTATCCGAACTCAAGACTTCACCTTGCACACCACTCCAACACTTCATTTCCAGGCCGCCGAACTGAACAACCGTACCTGACACCAAAGGAGTCTGTATCCTGAGGCGGCGCACCTGACTGACTTAGGATCTGACGCTTGACAACCGCACTTCAACGGCCACCTACCACCGCCAGTCACAGAGACGGCTTCGACAAAGAGAGCAGTGGCGGTTGTTTGCCCCAACAGAGGTGATGACACCCGAACTGGCAGAAGTGCAGAGGTAATGATACCCAACCTGACGGGAGCTTGGGAGTGAGTGCGCGAAGTGGTTATAAAAGGCTCTCTTCCCCCCAAGAACGAGGTACGTGATAACTTTGCGCCATCTGGTTTTTCATCTTGCCTTTGAGGAAATACTAACTTGAGCTTCGGAGCACTCTCACCGGGTTCCTCCCCGGAGATTACTCGCTTTCTTCCCCGTTTCAGGCACCTTTTGCTCCAGCCAGAGGCAAGATCGTTGACAGCTAGGACCGACCGGATTGCGCTCCATCACTTACTGTGTTTAGTTGGATAGTTTGAGAAATGTTTTATTTCAACTCATAGAAAGCTCCCAAAATAATCTATTGATCATATGGTTAAACTTAATCTAATTCTAATCATGATTTTCTTTTGGAACCTTTTAAATTTAGTGCTTTGGAGTTCCTGCTCCAGCTCTAGCCCCATGAGTTAGTTGCTAAGATCGTGATCCCTTGACATGAGTCACTTGACAATTTTTTTTGCTTGGTTACAAGATTGGAGACTTTACTAATATTAAAAATGTACAAGCAAGATAAACAGCAGTAATGGTTCCAAAATACCCCAGGGCTAACAGAGCATCCCCCCCTCCCATTACACCGTTGATATTATTCCATGGCCCCACTTCTGCCTCATAGCAGCAAACCTATTATAAATCAACCCCGTCCCTGATCAATGCATCCTCTTCTGAGTTAGCATATCTAGGAACCACTTGAAAGAGGCAGGTTTTTATGGAAAATAAATAAAAAGACAATTCATTAAGAAGAAAAGGGAGTACAACAGGGGTGATAAGACATCATCCACCCAAAAAAAGAAGCAGTTTATTCTTGAGGCTAAGTAGCCTCTCTAATGTCATGTTGAAGGATGCAAGGTCCATCTCCTCTTTCCCTTATTCAAGTGATTACCACTTGGGAGCTGTCCTCTATCTCCAAGTTCCAACGATCAGCATTCCAAAGATGTGGCAAACTCCACTCCTGAAAGTAAGGAGAGGATCTCAGTCCTCACTGAATGTCCTGTTCGTATAGGCCGCAAGTATACTAGTATAGTTTGAACCCTCATGGTTTTCAGGTGCGCCTCTACTATAGATGGGCCTGGATTGCCTAAAAAGCAACCATTAAAGTTTAATTCAGAAAACCTTAATCCGAGCAAATGAAAAAGGGAAGATAATGTGGATAAGGGCAGCTAGCTATATTGTGGTGAGTATGTGAATAAAGGAATGTGGGAATATTCGATGAAAAGACAATTCTAGGAGGACATCTTGGTAAAAGTGGTGCATTGGCTTTTTTTTTTTTTTTTTTTTTTATAAATAAGGGCAGCCTAGTGCATGAGGCTCCCACCAATGCGGGGTCTGGGGAGGGACAGATGTACACAGCCTTACCCCTCCTACACATACAGAGAGGCTGTTTCCAAGATTTGGAAAAAATACTGACATATTATGAACAACAATTGCTGAATTGCTAGATGTTCTACAAGCACAGAGGTTGGGCAAATCTGTCAATTTCAAGAGAATATTGGTTTAAGGGGATTCCAAGATGGTAGTGGGATGGCTAATGGACAACAATATAGGGTCATAGCAATACCGACATATTATGAGGGAAAAATAAACAGTTATCAAGAGAGCTGGATTCTACCTTTATATGGGTTCAAAGATCAGTAGATAGTTTGGCTGGTAGCTTAATAATGGCCAAACAATGATTGAAATATTGACAAAATCTGGGTTAGGTAGACAAAAAAGGTCTTCTGCATACTGTTTACATATCTCATTCTTTTTCTCAATATTATTTAACTTTATTATATAAACAGCACAATATACAAAGTTACATACACGATAGAGAGCATAGTAATTTACTATCTCTCTCCATATTAAAGTTCATTTACAATTGAGCCCAAAAAACTGATCCTGGTTGCTACTTGTTTTGCTGATGCATCAACCATGCAGTTATCTGATCTTTGCACCCATTGAACTTTCACTAGATTGGGCTTGAAGAGACTCCATGCCCACAGAGTGCATCCATCTAGAGCCAAACAAAGTAAAGAAAAGCTGCCAAATACTATTGACACAAGAATGGAAGATTCGTAGTCAATAAGTAAAACCTGCTTTCCCTGCAAAGGTAGCCCGTATGGGATGATAAAAAAAGTTAAGAACCAAGTAGGTCTCCTCTTCTGTGGAACATCATATGTGCTAACTTTTATGTTTCACCTCCCAACTGAACATCCTTACTTCAGGGGTAATGGGCCACTCCTCCCAAAATTATTGAGCACCGAGGTGGGTCTATATGTCCTATAGCTCCAGATGCCAGGTTTTCCTATACTTATTACAATTAGATTTCTATTATATAACTCAAAACCTAGATTGTCAGTTCAAGTCCATGAAAGGAAACTGATGTGCCTATAGCTCCAGATGCCAGGTTTTCCTATACTTATTACAAYTAGATTTCTATTATATAACTCAAAACCTAGATTGTCAGTTCAAGWCCATGAAAGGAAACTGATGTGCGCTACTTTTGCAGTATGATCCACTGTGCAACCTAATTCTACTAAAGCCCCAAGCTCTAAGTCTTTATACTGAAATTAATTTTATGTGTGAAATTAATAGGCTAATTCTAAAATGATGATACAGATAGAGTATTTGTTCGAAAAGAATTAATTTGTCACAGTACCTATTAATTATTAGATTAGTTTTCCATTGCCCATGTGCATGTATTTATTTCTCCATGTATTTGTGTGTGTGTGTGTGTGTTTTAATATTTCTTGAATTAATAGGCTAATTCTAAAATGATGATACAGATAGAGTATTTGTTTGAAAATAATTAATTTGTCACAGTACCTATTAATTATTACACTAGTTTTCCATTGCCCATGTGCATGTATTTATGTCTCCATGTATTTGTGTGTGTTTTAATATTTCTTGAATTGCTTTCATGCAACACAAACAATGAATAAAAACTTATGAAATATTAAGATAAATTTCTAAATGGTGTTCCTACATGGCTGAGTATTGTGGTTATTTATTCATTTACGAAATTAACTAAGCATTTGAAATAAATTATATATACTTTACCTATCTTTTTCTGTGATGTATAAAATTTAGGGAAAGACTATGATAATTATTTTTAAGTGAAAAATTTAAGTCATGTAAGGAAGGTTCTTCATTCTTTGGAAAGAAGTAAATAGTTTTCCATTCTCCTGAATTCTCCAGAAAAATTTTGTAAAACTGCAAATAAATTTAAAATATGTTCTGGATGATGCCCAAGACTGAAATTTTAGAAAATTTTCTGAAATTGTAAACCATGATGGTGGGTAAGCATACCCTTTATCAGTTTTCCATTCCATATTCTATTTTTCCTACCAATCCTTTGTTTGCCAGAATTATTTTTCTTTCCCTGTCTATTTAATTTAGGTTATTTCAGCTTGCTGTCATCAGTAAGACAGTTTAAACTTTTAATTTGGTTGCTTGAGTGAGTTGTTTAAGACGAATCTTCAAACTTTTAAAGGTGTTTACATGGTTTTCTTTTGAGCAGATTGTTGGCCATGAGACACAACTTGTTCCTAGATGTCGAAGAGTATATGCACATGCCCATGATTATCATATTAATTCCATTTCAAACAACAGGTATAATGAGGCTCTTTGGTTGCTTTTTAAGGACTGAAGATATATATATATATATATATATATATAAGCAGTATGCCAAGAAACATTAGTGAAATTCTGTTTAATTGTGAGTGATATTAAAAATGTGATTCTAAAAGCAGTAGTACTATCACGGAAATTATTTAATTGTTTTTATTTGACTATACTACAACAAAGTAAACCCTAAGAGTGAATTTCAAGTAAACCTGAGAGTGGATTTTACATTCATGTATATGCATGTATGCACCAGATATTCACTGATACACCTAGATAAATTCCATTGTTCCAAAAAATCTGTAATTATAAGTATGTGCTTGTAATGCTATTTTAACCATGCATATCTCACCGGTTACTGGTTTGTGCTTGATGTCAAATCTTACATTGCCCTTGAAAAGATATTACTGTTTATATCCTTTCTTTGTTGTTTATATACAATATTTTTATTTCTTTTAGTTTTATTTTTAGTTCACCATTGCTGGATTTTTCTTGTCCATTGCTTGGTGTGGTGGTAAAATCTCAGGCTATCAAGCTTGAGAATATGGGTTTGAGCTTGGGAGTGGCCACTTATGCAAAAATTTCCAGATCTTAGGTCTGTATCCAGTCAACCCCTCCCAAGGTCCTGGATAGCTGGGACTAACATTGGGTACTGGCTGTTTAATTGCTGGGTTTGTCTTATTTGCCATTAAAGATTTGTTGCAAACAAACAGCTTAGGTGCCTGGTCCCCTAGACAAACTGTAAGGGAGATTATGCAACTAACAAAGGAGCTTGAAGTCTGTTTTAAATGGACTAGGAGATCAGCCAATGCAATAGCTGATACTTTAGCAAAGCAAGAAGTTAGTAGGCAGAACCAAGGTTTTTAAAACCGTACCGGACAGGGAACCGTCTTGGAGTCCAGTTCCCGGGTCGAACGGTCCGATCATGTGGTCTGAATGGATGGTCCACTCTGACAGAAAAGTAAAAAAAATTAAAAAAATAAAAAAACAGCCAAAAACCATTGTCTGGTTCGACAGTTTGACCACCTGGGTCAGTGGTTTGCTGACCAAATCAACAGTTTTTGGCCAAAAAGCGGTTTTTGGGTAAAACGGAACTGGTCAGGTGACTGGTTCCCGATTTTTCGGTCCAACCGTCCGGTCCGGTCCGGTTTTGAAAACCATGGGCAGAACCTTTTTTTGGGCCTATTTGTAATTTTGATGAGGGGTCACCTTGTTTTTGAAGGTGACAGTTTGTACCAAGTTTTTTAAAGAATTAATAAAAGTTACTGTTTCCCATAAAAAAAAGATTTGTTTTAAATAAAAAATATGTTTGAAGATAATTTTCACAAGTCATATTATTTTATGTAAAGCAAAAGCTTTTCATAATTGATTTTAAGGTGGTAGAAGCTATCAGGATAGATAGTAATAAGATACACATGATGGGACTTTGTGTCTTAAATATATAAAATATATGTTTTTCCTTTTGTTACTATGCTGAAGGTTTGATCAAGGTTCACTTGTTCACATTTTTTGTTCTTTCTTTGTCCTTTTTGTTTTGTTTTTAACTATCCTCAGTGATGGAGAAACATTCATATCAGCAGATGATTTACGAATAAATTTGTGGAATATAGAGATAAGTAACCAAAGCTTCAATATTGTTGATGTGAAGCCTGTAAACATGGAAGACCTCACTGGTATGGTTTTTCTTCATTTCATTATTTTTTTGTTATATATGTATGTGTTTATGCATGGATGTATGTATCTACACATGTGGACACAGGCATACACATATAGAGGCGTATGCCTGGAGGCACTCCCAAAACGCCCTGAGGCGTATGCCAGAGGCACTGACACCTCTGAGGCGTATGCCTCTTGCGCTTTTTTCATGAGGCATGCTAGAGGCGTACGGCTCATGCACATCTGATATAAAAAGACAGAAAAAAAAAGAAAAAAGAAAAAAAAAGGAAGGGAAAGGAAAAGAAAGGGAAGGGAAAGAAAAAGAAATAGAAGAAAAAAAGAGAAAAGGAAAGAAAAGGAAAGGGAAGGGAAGGGAAGGGAAGAAAAGATAAGGGGAAAGAAAGTGGTTTGCTTGCTCGCCTCTGCTTCGACAAGACCCCCCCCCCCCTTTCAATTAATGTTATGCATCTTTATTCTTCTTAATATAAAAGATTCTTATTAAAAATAAAGAAAAAAATGAGATCCCCCCTTCCTCTTCATCCTCTTCCTAACCCCCCCTCCTTTTAAGGAGGCTTATGCCTCCTTGTGTTTGGGAGGCTTACGCCTCTTGCGTTCTGAACCACACCTCACGCCTCTAGGTAGTGGAACACCTCGTGTCACGCCTCCGAGTTTTAAAACATTGCTCTAGATGAGTCAACTATTTTTTACATGTGGAGGAATCATGTGCCTGATAAGGAGGAAACCTTTTGAATTGTCTACATGTTTATCATACTAGTCTATGTCAACCCTGTACCCCACCTTATATTGGAGTTTCTCCCAAGCGATATTAGTCATTAGTTTCATCATCATCATCCAAGCCTCATACCGACTATATGGGGTCAGCTACATGAATCCTGTTTTGCCATTCTATTCTGTTTAATGCCAATATTAGTCATTAGTTTCCATTTTTTAATTTGAAAATGCCCGTAAAATGGGGATTTCTTGAATTCACGGCAAGGAGTTTGGGGTTGAAATTTTCCCCATGAATAGAGGATAAGCAGAGAGAAGTCTTGGGGCCCTTCTTGCTTGTAACCCGTGTTGCCACAGAGAGGATTCCTGGATGCTTGAGACCTCTCTAGATAGTCTTACAAGCAGATCTGCTCTAACTTGATAAGTTAAATACCTTTGATATATCGATGTTTTCTTAAGTGAATTTGTAAAACATGAAATTCCTATTTTTGTATGTCAATACATAATTTGCTTGCTCAAAAAAAAATTAAATAAATAAAAGACTGGTTTCTGGTCCATATTTTCTGCCATCACACCAGGGAGGGCAGATGATGTAGACATGGAAAAGGGAAAGAATATAAGAAATGAAATTTCCCTAGATTTCTTTACCAGTGACAATTTTGTAATTTTTGTAATTTTATGTTTTTGGTCAATTTTAGTTTTTGTAAAAGTTGTTTTTGCAGTTTGTTTGTGTTGTAAGGATAGGTTACCAATTCTTTTTTTTTTTTTTTTTTGAGAAAAGTTAACTGAATTCATTAAGAAAAAAGAGGGGTACACAAAGAAGGTGTACAAAGAAACAAACAGGCAGGGATCAGACCCCTGAAAGTTACACAGGAGGGATCTTATCACAGTACAGCACTTCTAAAAGAGCACCTAATTTGCTAATCCATCTGTAAGAGCGTTAAAATCCCTTGGAATCCAGCACAGATGAATGTTTGTATTTGCCAGTAGGTCCCTTGCTTCTGTCAGAAAATGACTGAGTCTCCATGGCCCAGCTTCCTGTCTTCATAACCAGTCTATGGTGTTTGCTGAGTCTCCCTCTATAGAAAGATGCTGAATGCCTAATCTGTTGATTAGTCTGATTCCTGTAAGTGCAGCCATCACTTCCGCCTTTGTGGAGTCAGCTATACCTATCGGCCCACTGTATACTCAGCAAGTGTTCCCATTTTCAGCCCTTAAAACTCCTCCAATGCCAGCAGTTCCAGGGTTGCCTGAGGCACTTCCATCGAAACTTAGGGTCCAAGTTCCTTCCCTTCTAAGTGAGGGGCCCCTTTTGATGGGGAAGAGGGGTGAAGGGGGGGAGGAGAAAAGGAAAAAGCCAGCATCCCTGTTTAGGTCATTTTTTTTTTGATAAGTGAGAATAATTTAATTAAATCAAATAACAAAAATACAATCAACCTAGGAGGAGGCACGAGATGTTACCCCCCTAGGACTGAACCATATACACCAAAACTGCCCAAGCCTGAGTTATAATTACAAAGTAGCCCAAAATGGATCTCCCCTTGACACCCCCTGCTTGGCCAGAGAATCAGCCATTGCATTTGTTGATCTTCTAACCCACTGAAACCTGACAGTCATATTCCTTGTCATCCATTTAACTTTCTTTAACAGATCCCTGTAGCCCCAACAAGCTGTTTCTGGCCTAATTTGCCAGCCTACTGCCACCTTGGAATCCCCTTCTGCTAGCAGATTTGTCACACCACTTTGACTAGCCATCTGTATACCTTGACCGCTGCTAGTAGCTCTGCCCTTATTGAATCACCTTCACCCACTGGTCCTGAAAATAGAGACAACATATTGCTGTCTTTGTCTCTCGGAATCCCACCAATTCCTGATGGTCCTGGATTGCCTTGGCAGCTTCCATCAAAATTCAATTTTACCACACCATCCGGTGGGGGAATCCATTCAGCTTGTGATTTGATCTTGGTAGAAACTGTAGCAGCCACTGCAGCCCAATTTCTCCTTAAGTCATCGAAGGAGTAATCTGCCAACAAGTGTGAAGATTTTAACCAAGAAATATTTCTTGTCAATATGCATTTCCTTGATTTCAGTGAGACTTCTTTCATGTTCTTGAAATATTCTAGCATTTCTCTCCTCCCATACAGTCCACAACGTAGAAGCTCTGATACATTTCCACATTAGCTTCCCTCTTTTTGTCAATCCCCCAAAAGCAACCGGAGTGAACAACAACTTTACTTCAGAGGGCAAATTCCACCTGCACCTAAATAATGAAACAACCCAGTTCCAAATATTGGTAGCAAAGGAGCATGATATCATCAAATGGTTACAGCCCTCACCCTTCACTTTACACAAAGGGCACCAATTAGGGGTCAAGCACATAAAGGGTTTCTTTTTTTGCAAGTTTTTTACAGTATTGATCTTACCATAATAGGCTTCCCAACAGAACACTACTATTTTGGGGGGAATCGGTCTTGACCATACCTCTTTAACGGGGAAGACTTGAGGGGAGGGATTGGAGTAGAGGGCTTTAAAGAAAGAAGCACAAGTGAATGAGCCAACCGGGGTTAGGGACCAGACTCTTGTGTCTGGGTTAAGGGGGTCCAAACACACCGAATCTAGAAGCAACACCAGCTTTGAAACGCAAAGGAATTCTTCATCCCTTAACCCTCTTCGAAACCCGAGATCCCAATTTAAGGCCAAAGGGCAAACCAGGGGGGGGGAAGGAACCAAGAAATGGATTTCTTTTTAAAGAGGGAGATGGAATAGAGAGAAGGGAAACAATCTTTTAGGGGTTGAGAGCTCACCCAAATATCTTCTCGAAAAAGAATGGAGTTCCCAGAGCAAGCATCATACCTTACAAAACTGAGGAACTTAGGGAGAATGCCAGAGATAGCCTTCCAAGGTGTTGTGAGCAAAGCCCTTCGGGATACTCCCTCATCCCAACCTGATTCGGAACAGCCATGGATACTTTTCACTACCTCATGCCACAACCTCTCCCTCTCCAGGGGCCACCTCCAAAGCCACTTACCTAAAAGAGCCTCATTCTTGCTCACCACATTCCCTAATCCTAGGCCTCCTTCTTCCTTACTCCAACACACCACCTCCCACCTAATTAAGTGATCTTTTTTCTCTTCACCAGGTTCCCATAACAAATCCCAAATTAGTTTTTCCAACCTCTTTGCCTCTCTCTTAGGAATTCTAAAGACTGACAGGAAGTATAAAGGCAAGTTGACTAAAGTTGCTTTAATCAAAGTAACTCTACCCCCCTTGGAAATATAGTTTCTCTTCCAAGCTGCCAATCTTTTTTCGAATTTTTCCACCACCGGGTTCCAGAACCTACTTTCCTTTGGATTTGCACCTAATGGAAGTCCTAAGTAGGATAGAGGCCACTGAGAGCAAGTGCGTTCTAGTAGGGCTGCTATAGACTCCAACTCCTCTCTGTTCAAGTGAACTCCCACAACACAACTCTTCTCAAAATTTACCTTTAAATTTGAGGCCCTCTCAAAGTGAATTATTAAATCCTTCAGATTCCTTACCTCCATGAAAAAACAACCTTCACAAAAGATTATTATGTCGTTTGCAAATTGGAGATAGGTTACTTATAGAGACTCCTTTAAACTTGTCTGAGCTGGAAGCCCACTGGTTACATTTAAAGGTAATGTGAGAGATCAGATCACTCTTCGTCTTGGTCTTGTTCTCAAACAAGCGGTTATTCCTTTCTTCCTAAACTCCCCAAAGGATAGCATGCAGAATTATTTGCCACTAAACCTTACCTCTTTTACTCAGCCCTTTACCTTGCCATTGTTGGAGCAAATCCTGGAGGTGATTTGAGGCAACCTAGCTGTACCCAACTAGCTGTAGAAAATGGCTCCAGATGTCCCTGGTTTCCTGGCAGTGAATGAAGAGATGGTCAGTTGATTCCCCTGCTCTGAAGCAAAGGATGCAGACATGGGGGGAGATGGAAGGTCTGCCAAAATTCTTCTTCTGCAATAGCTCAGAAGTGTTTGTCCTGTGCAGACAGGCCTCCCATACAAAGAAACACACTCTAGAGGGGATGTAGTTGCACCAGACCTTCTTGAAAGGGAAGAGATAATTCTGCTCCTCTGCAACCAGGACCTTGAAGAAAGAATTGGAAGAGAACTTGCCTATAGGGTGAGGTTTCCAGACACGGGAGTCTAGGGAATTAGGGGAGATGTAGACTTCTCTGAGGGAGAGCAGGAGTTAAGTTAGCTCATTGATCTCTGACTCTCCTAAGGGTCTTCTAAGACTCAAGTTTATGTTGCTCTCA